ACTTTATGATTCACACATCTGCATGTGCAGAATATGTTTAGATAGTGTCCTGACCTGCAGAGAAAGGTATGAACAGCTGTTCTTGCTGTCACCAATTCTTGTGCTGTTTGTAGTCACTTTGGGATTCTTGGTGCACATCATCTTTCAGCAGCTGTACCCGATGTGCTTTGCTCAAGAGCTGCTTCAGCCTCTCCCCAAACCCTGCATCAGCACAAGTCAGACTGCCAAATTATGTCAAGCAGCTCCCTTTTGCCTCATTAAACTCCCTACAGAATTCACTTGCTGCTGCTTAACTAAGTAATTCTAAGGCAATTAATTTTCTGTTATCATGCATTTTGCACTAGCTGTGGAGACACATCCCCTCCAAGGGTTTCCCATGTGCTGGGCAGAGTGGATGAAGAAGCTGCAGAGCTGCTCCTGCAGAGTTTGTGTAGGGAGAGAGGAGGCTGAGGAGATAAAGCATTAGCTGCCACCCCCAGCTGAAGGGAAGGTTTGTTCTGTGTTTCACTCTCTGGTGCTGGTTTGTCTCTTTACTCTAGATGAGCATGTAGAAAATCAAGTAAATGTCTGGCACCAAAGGCCTTTTCTGCTGCTCTGACCTCACCTGTACCTGGCTATATCCTGTATTTCCAGTCTGTTGCTTTATATTCTGTCCAAATGATGCAATATTCCAGAATTACGGCAAATTTTCATGAGCTGAGAATTTGATGCCATTCAATGTTCAAGTGGATCTATGGCAGGGCAGAGTTTGAAGTATTCTAAGGATTTTCTCAGCCTTTGTTTTGTAACATAAGCCCAAATTTCCAGCTATGTTGCTTGGCAGTTATGAAAAATTACCTCTATTACTTAGCTAAATTACCATTGTTTTTCTGCAAATTTCAGTTTCCAATGCCAGTTTCAGATTTTGGCATTCATTTTCCAAACCATAAGTGGATCAAATATGTGTAACATGAAAAACTGGATTTTCATCTGCATCCTACTAAAACAGCTGGAATAGTCCAAGAAAAAGCAGACACCAAAATATATAAAGTACCTAACAGCAAATGATAAGATAATTTCCATCAAGGGATCTGACTGAGGAACACATTTTCAGGGGCAGTGAGGCTAATACAGTCTTGGTTATGTTTAGGAAAAACAAACTGTCTTTGGAAAAACCCTCTCCCACTGCTGAGGATGTCTTCTTTTAACCCCATAAACCCTTATTAAAACATAAAACAAAGTCAGAAACAAAAAGCTATCCTAGAGCAAATTTTACTCGTCTTCTCTCCCTCCTCGTCCCCTGAGAACAAAGAACTGAACTTGAAATTTTATCAAGTCTAAGAGGGATTTGGCTGTTGATTTTATAAGGGAAGTTTCAGCTACTCTGGATGTTGGTGAAAAATGGATAAAACCCATGTGATGATATAAGCTTGGTGATAACTGCATCCCTGTTGAAATGCAGCAATGCCAACAATCTGTCAAATGTAAACTAATTTATCAGTAAAATAAGTAGTTTAATGAAACAGACTTCTTTGGAGAAAAAATGGGTAAGAAATGAATCAACACTGCATTTGAAGCTTTGCATTAAAATCATCTTTCAACTGCTATTTATCACTTCTAACAAAGAACTTGTGGAAACAAAATATTTGGTATGATACAGCATTTATCAAATATCTTCAGCAGTGTATTTTGCAAACGTGCATGCCCTGGATTTCAGCTGGGAAGCATATGCTATGGAATAGCATACAGGTCACCATTCAATTGGCTTCTCAATAATTTCCTTTTACCTCCTGGGGCACTATACAGGATTTAGTGTTTCAAATTTTGAATCATTTTTATAATGATGCTGTTGCAGTCTACCAAATGATTTGATGATCTCAGTGCAAAAATTCCAAAGCACTTTCAGATAGATAAATTTAAATCTGGGGAAGGTCTAAGTTGTCTAAATCCAATTTACATTAAAGCTCTGGAATTGTATATTGTTAATTAAAATCAAGCACAAAGACATGGCATAAATTATTTGGGTTGCTTTAATTTCTTACTTTAACATCAACTCTTGAATTAAGGGTATGGAAACTCATGCAGAACCAGCATTCAGCACATTGTGTTTGTCACACAGCAGACAATCATGAGACAAACTTTCTACAGGTAATTCTGAAACAAAATCGCTCTAGAGGTTTTTCCTAGTCTTGGCTCATTCTGAGTTGACCCTGTAGCATCACCTATGATGTTGCTAGCAACACTCCTGCATTGTTGATGCTGTTTCGAAGAGCTTTCCTGGTTGCAGCTTTGGGTATTTTTATTACTCATACAAAAGTCTGTAAATACACATTCCCTTTTTTTGCAATTTCTTCACCTCTCAGCCTAATAATGTCCTGTACCAGTGAACTCCAGAGCCCACTCCTGCGCTGTAAGGAGTGAGGCTCTGGCTGTGCTGCTTTCAGTCGCAGTTTGCACTGGATACCCATCCCTTGGCAGGAGGCAGGAGCTGTGCATTGCTGTCTCAGTGAGCCAGAGCTGCTGGGCATTCTTCAGGCAGAAAGAAAAATGATGGTGATGGTAAAGATGGTGAAGAATTTCTAGGGTTTGCAGCTGGACTGGGAGGGGGCAGCTCTGCAAACTGCTACTACAAAAGCTTTGTGTCCTCCTGGTCAGTTCTGTCTGTCTCATCTCAAAAAACCCAAGCAATGACCATTAAGAGGATGCCCAAGGGTATGCACTTCCTCAAGCATGAGAAGCATCAGATGAATACAGATGATTTCTCACTTAACCTTTAAAAATGTCTTCGATTCAAAGTCTATTAAATCTCGCAGCTTTCCTGGGATTAAACCTCTGTGTTAATTTTTTTCTGAGCTCTTTCAGTTCTCTACCTGAGCTGCTGCTCATTGATACATTCTGAAATTCATCCTGAAAAGATACTCATCCTCCTGCCAGGCTTCAAAAGGGTTTGGTGATTCATACTGTTTTCCAAAAGAATAAGAACAGAATTTTACCTCATACAAAGTCCTCCAAATATGTATTAAATGGAACTGTGGTTCCAGGAGTGTCACAACTTGTAACCTGCATCTCGTACTTTCTCCATTTCTAAGCTTTCAAAAATACCTTTGCAAATATATTGTTTTTTGGGGGGGTTATTTTCTGTGAAAATAAAGTTATAGAGTAATCCATTATTCCTTAAACCTCCCCAAATCTCAGATTTTTAATATTAACATGTCTCAGAGTTTTACATAAGTCTGTGCTTTCCAGCCCTTATGTACTTCGTACCTTTCACTTCTTGGTTTGCTGGAATAGGAAGTCGTACATTTGACAAGTTTTTTTGTAACAGAACTTTGCACCTTGATAATATTTGTTCATTCTTCAGGATATACCTTTGTATATCCTTCTTGAGAAACCACCAAGATGAAGGAAGGGACAGGTGACTTCATTTGTACAGCTTTATTTCCCCCATCTTTCTGCAGAAATTAAAGCAAACTTCACCCACAGGTGACAGCAAACTCTTGGGAACTGAAAAACACTCAACCCAACACATGCAGTTAAGGGTACAATGGTGACAGCAAAAATGCTGCTGTGGAAAAATGCAAAAAAATCTGTCGCCAAACAAATCTCAGAAAAACTATTATATCTTTCTGAGAACTGCAAAAGGGTGATGTAACGTGGTGGTGATGAGATGAGGAGAACACCTTCAACCTGAGCACAGCTGAGGATTCCCAGCAGCTCGTGCTGGAGCTTTGCTCTGGTAAGAAGTTGATCCTTTCCCTAACTGACACCTCTGCTCGGTGTGTTCCTTGGTGAGAGCTCTAAGGTCTAACTGCAGCTCCCAATTGTCAGCCAGAACAATCCAGCATCACCAGAAGCTTCCCACCCTGGCAGAACCAGAAGGGCCATATGTGTGTGTATGTGTCAATGCTTTGAAACTGGAGATAAAAAAGGAACCAGTGACTTATCACACACATTTCTGTGGGAGCTGCTCAGAGCTGCAATCTGTGCTATGTACCTGTAGGTCATAAAACACCTTGGGCTGATCTCCTGGTTTACCACTGTAAATAGGTTATTCTTCAGTGCATTTTGAAGAAATACATGAGAATGACACAGATTATGGTTTTTTTGATTCCTGAGTTAGTAATTGATAGGTTTATTTTTTTCTGGTCATCTGATTTAACTTTTCTGTTACAAACTTACATTCAAGGAGAAAAAAAGAAAGCCAAATATTTCCTTTTATATTATTTATTTATTTGTTTATTTATTTTCCTTTACAAACAGGCAGGAGGGCCTGGAGATGCTCTCATCCTATTGTTTCTTATCAGCAAAATATTTCTTATGAAACCAGTAGCAAATGAAGTATTTCTAGACTGTCTTATTTCTTTCCCAGCAATAATTCTAACTTGTGTGTGAATAATATTTGAACACGTGAATAGTAAAAGCTGTTAATTAGATTTGGTCTTTTGTGGTGTGATTTTCATTAATTACATTCTTAGTTTAACGGAGTTATGTTACACAATCTGTGATCTTCCGGACATGGAGGATTAAATAACTACAAATGAGCACTTGGAGAAAAAAGCACATTTTTGGGGCACAATTGCTGGAAAAGCAGCTATAAAGAACGAGGAGGATCAGCTCTTGGCCATGCAATGTCTTCCCACAGGCTGTGCAGGACTAGGCTTCTTGATGCCTGAGCTATGGCAGATGAATTCTTTCCTTCTGGGGTCACCTGGTGCTGAAGTTCCTTCTCTTCCTGGAGATTAGAGCTGAGACTTCCTAACATGGTTTTGTCTCTGTGTGTGGTTTTTTTTTCTTTTCTGTTGTGGTTGGTTGGTTGGTTGGTTTGGGTTTTTGTTTCATTTGTTTTGTTTTGAGTAACATCCTATACTAAGTCAAAGGAGTTAACCATTCTCTGGTCAGAAAAGAAGCCAAACCAAACCAAGGAAAGAATTGGCTGCAGGAATTCTTTGCCTTTTCCCTCCTCCTTTCCAATAGCACAGAGATGTTCAGAGGAGTCTGGTCACCTTTGCCCTCTGTTGCAGATTGTTCACAGGACCCTTGCAGCGATGTTGGGCTCTCTGGCAGCTCTGGCTGCCCTGGCTATTGTTGGGGAGGTAAGTTACCAAACTGGAAGTGCTCCCTTTGGTTCTGGCTATGGGCTGAGGGACCATCAATGTCCACGTTTGCCCCATTGTGACTAGGGCAGTGTTTTTTAAGAGAGAGAGAGGGTTAGGACAGACACTGGGGTGGGAAGACAAGTCAGACTGGTGTGCAGACAAGGAGAGTACAAAAAAGTCAGTTGATCCTTTTTTGTTCTAATTTGCAAGAAGCTGAGCACAACCATTTTCAGCTTAGCTCAGAGTTACTTTAACACTGTTGTTTTCCCCAATGTTAGGCTACCAAGCAAACCTAAATGGAAATACATGCTTTATACCCCCCTAAATAACTACACCTTATGCTTATATGTTCCAACTCTTTTGTTTCCTCCCCTGCTTACTCTTAGTTGATATATAGTGAAACCTCAGATTGATTTTCTCTGTTTTTCTCATAACCACATCATTGCTATGTTCCCTTAAATTCCCTGCAGTTTGCTCACAGGTGAAGCAGCATGGTTTTGTTCTCTTACCAAAAAGGAAACTGGGCTGTACTGTATAATTTGGTTATCTTCTGTTTCTGTAGTGCTATGTAAGGAACAACTAGACCAGCCAATAGCCTAATCACCCACTTAGGATGCCAGTACTTGGAATTAGTAATAATAATAGTAGTAGTAATGGTAATAATAAAGAATCATTTTTGTGTAACTCATAACTTGTGTAACTTCTTAACTTCCATCACAGCTTATTTAAATGGTTCATCAATTAAGTGGAGTTTATATTTCGTAACTAATCACAAGTTAGGTGTTTTGTGTCATTCCCTGCTAATCATATTTTTTGATTGCAGAGGCCAAGTATGGTCATGGTGGTGGAGTGGATTGATTATGAGACACTGGCATTGCTGTTTGGAATGGTAACTCAAGTGCATCTTTTGCTCTAAATGTGCTGAAATAATCACATTCAATATAGAGATGTTTCCCTTGAAAACATTTTGTTAATTTACTTTACTGAGACAACTTGTGATGAAAATTTGAGCCTTAAGGAATTCACTAAAAGGGAGGATGATCAGACCTCTGAAGGACTCTTTTGAAATATTGATCCTTTGTATTTTTCTTTCTAAATTTGTGAAATTGTGTTGATAACATGCTAAAAACATCCTCAGGGTCTATAAATGGAAAGACCTGTTTAAGGGCCAAGTATTATCACTCTCATTTACTGTTTTTAATTTTGTTTACTCAAAACCTTCCTCAAACACACTCTGCTGGAAAAGTGGTTTTCTTTGTCTTAATCAGTGCTCTGTTTGGAGCCACAAAAAAGCAAACCAGAAATGGCGAAGAAATATCTGATTAGATTATAATCATGTATTATTTTAATCACTTTGCCCAGAGATATTTGTGGTAAAAAGCTGTACAACTGCTGTTAAATTCTAACACAAAATTTGCAATATACAGAGACAAAATTACAACTATCTGTTGCCACTCTGAGCTTTTCTTATTTCCTGACACTGCTCCCTGCCTTCCCCACAGAAAGAGAAAGCAAAAAATTTAAAATATGTTGGGAACAAAGATAGAAGGACAGGAAACCTCCCAGGCATGTGGTAACGTGGAAGTAATTCTTGAAGCTGCTCTCTTCTGTAGTCTGTAGAGCATTACAGCAGAGAGCAAACACACTTATTGGCTTTTCTTGATTAATGACATAAGGGAGATAGATGGAGTACTTAATGTATGATGCCCACTTAGTCACTACAAATAAAATTCAACCATGACATTTATAGACTGCTTATGTTGAGAAGCAAATTTCCCCATATGATGCATTAAGGAGATGTCTGGCAGCTGTAATGGATATTCTCATATGAAGGTGGTCAGATTCTCAGAGCTGTATCCGATGAGAAGTACATTTATCAGGATCACTCACTACTTCACTTTGGTTTGGAGTAATCAGTTGCAAGCAATTCTTTTTTTATTCATCTCTTGGTAGATGGTTTTGGTGGCCATATTTTCAGAGACTGGATTCTTTGACTACTGTGCAGTAAAGGTAGGCCTGTTTTGCTGCTTCTAATTATTACTGGATTAATCAAGTTAGTATTTATTCAAATCTGTTACATCAAGCACTATCTTTGAAGAACCTTTCTTAGAGCAATGTATACTTATCATATTAGAAATTACAATGGTCAACTTGTAATATTTGGAAAATGTTTTATGGGCAAAAGGAAGCCCTTAATGCAATTCTGTTTCCACAGGAGAGAGTTAACGGTCCCCGGTAGGGTACACAAGCATATGGACAGTATAAAGTTGACTTATTTCATTGACTTCCCCAGGACCACAGTTCTGCAGTAGCTGAAATCTCCGTGCCTGGCAGTGGGAGAGAGGAAATCTGGGGACTATCATTAGCTTTATGACCACCCATGGAAATTGGCCACAGACCTTTGCACAATAGGAGAACAAAAGATTACTTGAAAAGGCTAATTCATGGAATCTTAACCATAGAATCATGGACTGATTGTGGCTGGCAGGATTCTTAATCATGTGGTTCCAACCCCCTGACATGGCCAGGGACACCTTCCCCTAGCCCAGGCTGCTCAATGCCTCATCCAGCCTGGCCTTGAACACTTCCAGGGACAGAGTATCCACAACTTCTCTGGAGAAACTGTTCCAGTGCCTCATCACCCTCACATTAAAGAATTTCTTCCTAACATCTAACCTAAACCTACTCTCTTTCAGTTTAAAACCATTCCCCTTGTCCTATCAGTACATGCCCTTGCCAAAAGACCCTCCCCATCTTTCCTGTAGGTCTCCTTTAGGTACTGGAAGACTGCTATAAGGCCTCCCCAAAACCTTCTCTTCTCCAGGGTGAACAGCCCAGATCTCTTTCAGCCTGTTCTCATAGGAGATGTGCTCCAGCCTTCTGATCATCTTTGTGGCTCTCTGGACTCAGTCCAGCAGGTCCATGACCTTATGTTGGGGACCCTAGAGCTGGATGCAGGACTCCAGGTAGGCTCTCATGAGCATGGAGTAGAAGGGGAGAATCACCTCCCTTCCTTTTCTGCAGCCCAGGATACATTTGGTTTTCTGGGCTGCAAGTGCACATTGCTGGGTCATGTTGAGCTTCTTGTTCACCCACACCTCCAAGCCTTTCACCTCAAGGCTGCATTCAATCCATTCTCTCCCCAGGCTGTATTTGTGCTTTGGATTGCTCTGACCCAGTACAGGACCTTGCTCTTGGCCTTGTTGATCTTCATGAGGTTTGCTTGGGGCCCTCCAAGGCTTTATCCCATGAGATTCCACCAAGCAGACCCATGATGAGGCCGAAGTCTGCACTCCTGAAGTTCAGGCTAGTGAGCTTGCTGTGCTCCCTCCTGTCTGCCCTAAGGATCGTGAGCTCCACCAGTTCATGGTCATTGCAGCCAAGGCTGCCCTTGAAGTTCACATTCCCCAGAAGTCCCTCCTCACTGGTGAGAACAAGGTCCAGCATAGCAAATCCTGTTGTCTCCTCCATCACTTAG